ACAGGGAAACATACATTTTTGATTGCAAAAGTGAAAATTGTAATGAAAAATTGACTACATGTCCATTGTTGTGATGTATCATTTGACAGTAAAATAGTACTACACGATTGTATATATTAAATGCTTTTAAAAGTTTAAAGTTTCGGAAAATCTTTATCGCATTAATAATGTTTGCATAAACTTAATTCTCCCTTTCACAAAATACTGCATCAATTACAAAAACTAATTGTTAATCATAATGCATTATATATCATATTAGTATTTTAAACTAAAAAATTAAATATTCAAAATTATACAATATGAATATATGCAAAATGTTTCTAATTTATGCTATGTATGTTTATTATGTTATATTTCATCAAGTTGTGTTTAAAAGTTATATATTTTTTTCAGAAAAAGATGGAGGAACTATTATATTATATTGTCAATCCTAATTATCGGACATTTAAGGTTTATAAACCTTATATACAGTGAAAAAGTTTTTGTTGGCTTTTTTCTATATATTTATAAGAAATGGATGTACAAAAGTTTTGACAGAAAGTTGTGTTATGAATATCAAAAGCTTTATGTATAACATTTGTATATACAAAAGCCTGCTATACGTGGATCAAGCAGGCTAGGCACTCTCGTGCCAAGCTTGGGTAATGGATCCCGTTCGTCCATGGTATGCATCATATAATCGTCTTGCTGCAAGTAATGCTACCAGTACGTTTCAAGCAAATTCAAGCACAAACAGCGATTTTGTACCTCATCACTTAGCAACAACTGCTACTCAAGCTGTTCCTTCAACAACAACGTCACAATTACTTTTACAAGCAGCTCACACAACTGCAACTCTGGCGGGACAGCCTTCTCCATTCAACCCAGGGGGATTTTTGTCTCCACCCCCTGTGGGATATGATGTCTTCACACCTTTGTTTCATCATACTAATCCTAAACAAGCACATTATGTTACTCAACATAGACAAGCTCTTGCTCAAGCACAAGTGTCAGTAACGAAACAAAATACTACAACAGAATCTGATATTCCTGTGTTAAGAGAAAATTATAGTTCAGCACATCAACCAACATTTTTTGAACATCAGGGTGCAGCAACATCACCTACAACATCTACGTTGGCTTGGACTCATCAGAACAACGCACAATTACCTAGTCCATTTGGTATTTTGCCTCATGAAAGTGTTGTTCCTTCATCTCCAGGACCATCTACCACAAAACCGAGTGGTGTTTATGAAAATACGTTCAATTCTCAATTTGCTACAACGCAAACTATAAACAATCTAAATTCTCAATTATCTACATCTTCTGTTTCTGCTGCAGAATTTAAATCATCCAATTTTCCAGATAATAAAAAAACAGTAAACGTAAGGCCTCAATCACCAGCAGTAAGTGTGAAATCTGTAGTTTCTACATCACAAACAAACAACAATCAAAATTTTTTTCAATCAGTACCTACTACATTTAATTCTGAAACATTAGCAAATAATTATTCTACTGGCAATGGAAGTCAAACTTCAAATGGGAAAGTACAACCTATCCTTCAACATCAACAATCCTGCATTGTTTCAACTACAAATAATGCAACCAACAAAGAGTACAGGATTCCTCAACCACCTTCTAGGTCAATTGCAACAACCATATTTTTAAATACATCTGTCAGATCTGTGTCTTCGCAAGTACAAGATAAACAATCTACACGAAATTTTGCTTCACCTCCAAATAAAGCAACTTCTTCACCTCAACAAAATATTCAAACTAAAGCACAGACAAAAATATATCCAGAATTAAGTACACACGGTAGTGAACATAGACGAAACGAACAAACTTCTCATGATAATACTCAGTCATCTCCTATCAGCTTTTCTATTATGGATTCACGTGGTTTGAACTATACTGCTGGAAATAATACAAATTGTACAAACACCAGTGGAAAACTTAATAACAATCAAAGAACTCAATCAAACAGTAATTTACAGACTCATTCTCAACAATCACAACAGCAACAACAGCAGCAATTTCATGTTTTAACTCAACAACAGCAGCAGCAGCAGCAGCAGCAGCAGCAGCAACAACAACAACAACAACAACAACAACAACAGACATCATATAGACATTATATAACAGGATCTACTACTGAATCTGAATATCATCATTCAGGAAGATCAAAATCTGCAACTTCTACTGATTCTACTTATTCTTCTAACAATGCAACACAAAATGGACCTGACTGTAGCGTTGTTGTGCCAAGAAGGCCCAGTCCATTGCAAGCACATTCACAAGCAAGTCCATTAGGACATGTTCCAAGCCCTGCTTATCCTATGTATAATAGTCCAATGGCTACCATCTCTTCTCCTTCACCTTTACAACAACATACAGAAAATGGAAATCAATGTGCAAGCGGTGGACCATCATACAAAGGAAGTGTTCAACAACAAGTCACACCACCATCGCCGTTAGATGTTACTGTACCACGACCTGCATCGCAGGGTCAGGTTGTTTATTCGTCTGTTATTACAAGGGCTTTAGGTACTGCTGAAAATAAAACCAATTACACTGACAGTAAAAATTACGATAGACAACAACAAGATTTTTCACAAACCCAGAAACAAGTTTGCTGGGAAAATGATAATCGGCAACCAAACAATAATAGAAAATTTTCCGTTACTCTATATACTGGAGGAAATTCTGAAGTAAACCCTCAAACCTTGCCAGTTCAACAAGTACAACGAGTCCTAAATGTTTCTGATAGACAACAATCATATTTTGATTCCAATCAAGTAACTCTACAAGATTTAAGTAGCTGTAGAGGAGATCCCATGAGTATAGTAAAAAATTTGCAGACATTACAAGGTTCTTGTCAAGTACAGCAGCAACAAACTACTGTATCTGTTACTCCAACAGAACAACAAAAACAAGTAGAAGAACGACGAAAAGTAGATACAACAAACAAAAAAAGAAAAAATTTAGAAAAAGTTGGACATAATTCTTTAAACGAAATGACTGGAACAACAACAACAATGACAGAATACTTAAGTAGAATACCACCACCTGCTCATCATAATACAAATCAACAACAACAAAATGGTTATTTTGATTTTGAAAGATGGAATTTACCTCCACCCCCTGCTAAAATGTTTTCCGGTGCATCAGGTGCTTTCAGTTCACAATCAACTTTACATCATTCAAATAATTTTGTTGGCACTCCAGCACATCAACATCAATCACTGATGGTGTCCCATCATCATGCCCCACCTCCTATTCCATATTTCCCTGCTTTTCATATTCCACCAAGCCATCATCATTCACACGAATTTCAATCTTCTGTTGAGATTACTCCCATTGGTTTTACTGAAAACGCAGCAAATCAAAATGCTAATTTTAATCAAGATATCAGAGATGATCAACCTAAAGTAATTGTTCCTAACATCGAAGAAGAACTAGGCTTTTTACAACAAAATCAGCAACCAGTACAAACTGTGAACCTTTTAAATAAAGATTTCAAACGATCAAATAAAGACCCTAATTCAGGATTTATGACAAGTTATTTGAAATTTTTACAAGGTGAAAGGGAACCTTCACCTCCACCTGCAATACGTGGTGGAAGAAAAGCAACTTGGAGTAGGTCAAAGCCTTATATTCCTATAGAACCTAATAAGTCGATAGAAAATTCGACAAACGGAGAAGCAGTAAAGACACAGTTAGAAAAACCACCTCCACCTAAAGAAACACCAGTAATTGATTATACTAACGATCCACGATATTTTCCTTTACCCAAAGAACGAAAGAAACAGAATTTTGATTCGAGCGACGATGGTTTTACCAGTGATGACGATTTTCTATTTCCTCCAAAAAAATCAGATAAGAAAGTAACAAATATAAATACTTCCAATATAACAGAAGTAACAACTATGAAACCGGAAGGTAAATCTAAGAAAGGAAGACCAATTAAGCCTGGAGGACCAACAGATAGAAAAAGAAGAGCTGCAGCAGCAGCTGCTGCAGCAGAGGCAACAATCAGTACATCTAGTAAAGCTTCTAAAAAACACGAAGAAGGTAATATATATATATATATATATATATACATATATATATATTATTCCTTTTTTGTTTCGGATTTATGTATATAATATAATTAATATAACATTATTATTATATAATTATACAATATAAAAATAATACACATGTATATATTTTTATAGTAGATCCTTTACTTTTACCTCCGAGGCGTGAAACGTCTAGAAGAAAAGCGAAAGAAAAGACTTCGGTAAAACAATTTTTGGATCGACAACAGGGTATAGATTATTTTGACAATGATGAAGAGCAGGGAGATTCTGATTCCGATCCTGCTTGGACACCCGCTGTAAAATTGGTCGGAGATGAAGAAGAAAAAAAGAAAAAACGTGGGAGACCTGTCATTACTAAAAAAAGTAGAAAAGTTTTGGAAGAAGATGAATATTCTTCTGATTTTGTTATTTCAAAGAAATCAAGTAGAAAAAAACACGAGACGCCGTCAAAAACTTCTAATGTTACTGGAAAGCTATCTTGCAAGATAGACGAAAAACTTTTGGCATCTATCAGTGACGAAGATATTGATATTTCACCATTTAAGGTATGCGATGAATTTATTACTAATTTCAATTCATATATGCAAAATAATACATAGATTATAAATATTCTACTCCATCTGAATAGAAAATCATAATTTTGAAAAAGATCGAGAAATTGTAAACCTATAGCAATTACTATGTAATTGTTATTTACATTTTACGTTCATTTATCGACATCTTTAATTTATTTATTTTTGTATGAGAAATAAAAAATACCATATATAAATACAATATATACAAACATTATTATATACATTATATATATACATTATATATACACTACTATAATTTACACGTACTATAAATTGTATTTGTAATTTATTTTTATATTGCATGCAGCAGTCCAAGGATGAATTAGACGATGTGGTAATTTCTTATGATTTTATAAAACAATATCAGCGAATTTTAATAAAATGTATCAATAACATATTTTTCAGTCGGGAGAATTTGTCGTAATCAAGGCAGATTTAGATGAAGAATATCCTCCACTTTGGAGAATAGATGGCAAAACATTACTGCAAAAATACGAGCCATTTAAATCTAATGGCAAGACTTTATATAGAAACATATCTACGGTAATGCATAATAAACTTTTGGAGAAAGCTTGCTTTTTTTCTGTTTTAATGTATACATACATATGTTGTAGTACTCGGGTTGGGCACCGCAAAATCGACATATATATCAACAAGTTCCAGTAAAGTTTTGGCAACAAAGCAAAACAGAAACTGTAGTAGAGTTTCTAAGAGATGAAATGATTATTGATGACAAGTACGTTTTATTTCATTAATATTTGAGAGTCACATAGTCACAAAAATTATCGCATTTATTACTTATTTTTTAGCGAGTGTATCGACAAATCTATGAAAGATACTGAAAAATATCAAGATAATTTTGAAGTGTATATTCAAACATTGATTTCGCAAGCTTTAGATTCTAATTTTCTTACAGAAATATTTCAAGAACAAGGTATAATAATTTCTATTCGATATTAAAATAATTTTGTCATGCATGTACAGTTTTATATCTATAGTTTTTATTACAGATGATTATTTCTTATCAAACGTTAAGACTGTCGATGAAGTAACAGAAGAAAGAAAACAACGACTTCTGTCTACAACGAAATGGCGGTCAAATGTTATAAATGCAATATCAACTTGGCCATGTCTTAACGTTCTTAAAGATTTACCATTTATGGAATATAAAGGAAAATCGTGTGCTGGTTGTCAGCAGCCTAAAATTCACGCTAGGGTTCTACTATATGGTCAACCATATAATGCAACTACATTGGAAGGTTCTCCTCCTGATCCAAGGATACCTCAAGAAAAGGTATTTAAATAATTTTTTAGCTCATTGCTGTAATTCATCGATCATTCAATTTTTAGGATTTTTTATTATGTCGAGTATGTCAAGCAAAAATAGCCCTGTACAATAAAGTGGCACATCAAAAATATTTGATGTTCTTGGAGTGTGCAAGGAGAGTAGCAGATAAGAGAGTAGCAGATCCTCATAAAGATACCACAATAATATTGAACGAATTATTAGCAGATGAAACATGGTTAAATCAAGTAAGTCAAGTCGAGTAATAAATACTTTTTGAAAAATTTTAATGCTTTAAAAATAAAAAATTAATCACAATAATTTAAAAAATGTGAATCTTTTTCAGTTATTTAAAGAAGTTAGAACAATCTGGGCAGAAATAGATAATTTAGAACATCAAGCAAAAACGAAGTCTAGTTTGAAATCATCAACATTATCTTCTACAGTAAACAGTGCAGAGGAAGTGAATGAAAATGTTTCAATGACACAGCCAACTGAAATGATTGCTAATATTTCGGATTCACAGGTGCCTACACATAAAATCGAGGAGAATTCTGAAACAGTGTCTTGCGACGTGCAGATGAGCAGTATACCATCTTAGTGGTGCTATGTTAATCGAAATTGGTTCTGTTTCATAGAGTACGTGAAGACTATCAAACATTTAGTGGTATATCGATTTAATGGATATGATGTTAATACCAGTCTTGAGACCAAACAATTAAATATTGTATTTTGAGGATGGTAAATATTTAAATTGAGTTAATACAATACGTTGTGACAAAGGGTGAAGTTAAATAATAATGTGTAATCAAGAAATTGTAGTTATAGTGATGAGTAGTGAACGGCGAGGTAAGTAAAAAGGTGATTTATATATAAATATCAGGCATATGTAAAATATTCATCCTCGCGTAAAAATTAGAAGTGAGCCCAAACTTTGCCATTGTAATAGCATGATAATAGAGATTTACGAATGTTTGTGTGCATAGACATTTAGCTCTAGCATTTGCATCGTGATAATTTTGCGTAATATCGAGGTCTGATACGTTAAGATCTGAAAAAGAAAGACGAAAGACAAATGATTTTAAAATACGAAGCGTTAAGGTATATAAAACCTCATGACCTTCTGTAATATATTTACATACATCACATTCTCTTTATCTGCGAAGGTCTATTTACTGCCAAGTGCAGAAACTGTTATACCGTTTGTTCCTCTAATTGTAATTTCTAAATTCATTGTGCATTTTCTTTATAAAGTAGCTTACACCTATTCTTTTATAATGATTCAACAAATATAAACGATATTTATATGCATGTTAATTTGTATATAAAGTTCGTGCAACTACAAAATTTCCACGTTAAAAATGTTCAGAAGTGTTCCGAGATAACATTCTTTTAATAAAACATTTCCCGGCGAATGCAATATTTTGAAAGTGTGCGTTGTTTTCTTATCAGAAAACATTAGATACTTCGTAGAACATTTGTATATAAAAGTACTTTCAGTAAGATTAGAAATACGTCCTATGCACTTCTGGTTCATTATATGTTGACATGCAAATTTTATAAACTACGTGTATTATATCTTCCATTGTAACGGCTTAATAATTCAGTAGCAAATTTCTAAGTTCTTCCATCTTAAAGTAATTTTTAAAAAGCGATTCCATTCTCATTTTATAAAATACGAACAAAATATTAACATCATTTTAGATTATTTATTTTTGTGAATAATCTTGTGACTTTAGCAACATACGCATATTATGTATGAAATACGAATGAATGTTGCATAAAAAAAATGTATCTATTTTCATAGAAATTCTGGTAATATCAGTGATTTAATGATATCTCTGATCTAACGATCAAAATTACATTTTTTACTACTTATTCTATAATCAGAATTTGTATCATATCTTCCTTTTCAAATCTTACTAATAATAATCAATGAAAGGTAAATAAATTGTTAACAAAGAGCATATAAATTTCAATCAATTTTTTTTTTTTTTTCTCATTATTAGGAAGCGTCTAAATTTACAATGTATTTCTCAAAATCTTATAAATCCGAAGCAAATTTTTATTTTGTTAAATAATTAATAACGGAACTCGTACAATAAATTTTATTTCGTTAGAATATTATTAAAAATTTTAAGATACAATAACGTCATTAAGGACGCTTCTACAAATGTTTATGAACAAGCGATAGAAAATTAAGAATAATTTAAAGTAATAACTTTCTGTATATTAATTGTTATATTCTAAATTATATCATTATTATGTTAAAGTAATTATCGTCTCATTTTTATTATAACAATTATTATTATTATTGTTTAAATCTTAAGGTTTCTAAGTTTCCAATCTGTTTTTAGCTTTGTCAAGGAAAAGAAAAAAAATATTCTCTAAAAATGAGAGTGGTGATATGCGTGTGTGGCGCGATGTATTTTTTAAAGACGATATATCAAATTATATTTGTAAATTATAAAAATACGATGGTAAGAACAAAGAGGGGGATGGTGACTGCTATGATAAAGCTATAGGGTTTTAGACATCTTTCGTATGCTATGTTAAATTAGTGCAGTTATTGCATTAGTGATTATCGTCGGGTTACCGAGTTGTATCATAAATTATTGGAGGAAACTATTAACTTGAAAGCTAAAAATGCGGGCATTTGGTCGTCAACGCAATAACAATAAAGAAACGTATGCAGTTACAAAATATTTTCTTTTTAGCAAACGTGCCATGCAATATTTCATGTTGATAAACAAGCTAGTGTTATATATATATATATATATATATATATATACTTGGCTATTATACAAGATATCTAATTAATAATATTTTATTTGATTTAGTTGAAAGAATATTATTAAATTTCATTAGTTTTACAGAAGTAACAAAAAATTATAAATCAATATGTATACGACACTAGCTAAAGAACGTCACTACCAACAATGTAGAAGTTAATATTGTTATATTGTATTCTTTTTTTAAACAAAGAAGCGTATGTTTATTTTTTTCGATTGTAAACTAATTAGTTTTTAAATCACGATAAAACTCAAGACATAGTTTCTTCTGTCACGAGATTACAGTATTTCTGGTACTACGATTTAAAAAAGAAGATACGATTAAAAGAATAGTGAAATACTACTTGAATAATTTATGTTTTTATTAATCCTTTTTCAATAAAATGAAAAATTTTATAAAACAGCGTACCGTTAACTTGTCCGTCTCTACTATTATTTAACGCTTCAGTGAATATACGATGTTATAAATTTTCATTTTTAATCTAAAAATTTTTATTTTACCCAAAACGTAACATGTTAAAACGTACGAAAAGATGAATTTAGTTAACTGTTTGTATTAAATTTAGTTTGTGCATCGTAATTACGAAACATGTCTGTAAATGGAATTTTGGAATGGAAAATCTAATAAATTCTTGCTCGTTTCGATGAAATAACAATGTCAATGACAAAAATATGCATCATCCGATGCTTCAAACAATCCCGTTACAACAAAGGGTTCTAAAAGAAATTGTTACAATACTGACGTAGAGGTTAGGTACAAAATCGAAATGCGCACGCGCTTTTTATGATCGCTTCTTTCCCCCCGTTCCTCCCCGCTCTGTTACTATTCCAGTTCGCGTTTGTTGCCCGTGAAGGATGCCTTCTGCCAACCCTAAACTAGAAAAACAGGCTTCTACGGAGACCGTAGAACCTATACGCCAAGCAATTATCGTTATTGAGCATAAAATACGGAATCTTGAAAAACGTAAGGTAAGCATTTCAACGATATACGTGTAAATAACGACGAGAAAATTATCTGTCAGTTGATAGCTTTTACGGTGCAATCCGCCATGATTGGATACGCCATGTGCTCACGCTTGAGATTTCGTAGGTATCTGATGATCATATTACGACGAATTGATCCTTGTTATTACGTTCTGGTATTGGAACTTTCTCATTAAAGCTAAGTCGAAGTAAAATCGATCATTCTTCTACATTTAAACGGCCAGAGATTTGCAATCGCGAACCTCGTGTCATGGCGGTATTTCCTAAAGATATGCACAAAACTTTACTGCACGACACGCTTTCGACTCAGCGCCGGCAAATCAGGTTGTCCAACGATATTTTCCATTCAGTATGTTGTTAAAAATTCATATATATACAAAATTTAAATGTACAAATTTCCTTTCGATGCACAAGCGATCCTTTGCTTGCTCGCGTTTAAAATATTCGCGTGAGTCGGTTCTCTAGAACTACAACACTGCGAAATTATAAACAAAATTTAATGTTTTATAAAAAGACGAATCGAAAAAGGATAATACGTAAATTTTCACTTAAAATTAAGAAAAAGAAATGACATTTTTTTAAATGTAAATTATTTTTCTATTTTGAATTACGCGTATGTATGCGTACATATACACGCATATATGTTTTATAATATAGTTATTTTACTGAAAAACGTAATAAATTCTTTCGTATAAAACTAACAACATGTGTTATGTTCAGGGAAAGTTAGAATCATACAGGGATCTGCAAAAGAATGGAAGGGAACTAAACGCGGATCAAAAAACAGCAGTAGCCAAATACGACGAAGTGTTACAAACATTGGATATTACAAAGGAACTGTACAAGCAAATCGTTGGAATTGCACACGATGCAGTCAAACAGCAAAAAAAGTTGGCAAGGAAAGAGGCTATTGAGAGAATGCAACAAGATATTGCAAAGGTACGAATTAAAAATAGTTTTACAACTTGTAGCATTCTATCAAATGTTTGTTACATTTATTAATTCAGGTGAAGGAGGTTCTTCTCATACAAGACGCGCTAATGAACATGGGTACAGAATCTGTTAGAGAAGATTTTCTTGCTGGAAAAAATGGTGCCGTAAAATTATCAGAACAAGATTTGAAATACTTGGATAGCTTGTACAACGAAGTTACGATGAAACATCACAGAGAAGAAGGCGAACCAACATTTTTCCAACAAGTGCAGAAAGTAGCCGAACACTATGTAGCTATTGTTGATGGAAAACAAAGAGAAATTGCTGGTACAACTTATAATAAATTAAAAGAAATTATCACCTCTATCAACCAGTGTGGCTATTTCGATCAAGTTCATGAAACTGAAGCCGTAGCAGAAGAAGTAAGACAAATGCTTGTATTTTCATCACTTTTGTAATTAATTTAAACAAGATATAACTAAACAAACGAGAAACAGCACTCAAAAATACATCGTTAAATTTTTTATAGGTTACAGAGGCAGTCGCGGAAACGCAAATATCTGAAACTCCTGTGCAAGACCAAGTCAATGAGGAATATAATACTAACGACAGACACATTCCACCCGAGTCCATAATTCCAATTCCTAACTTCCCTGTACAGGTCGCACCTCTCCCTGTTGTTTCCGGCACTACTCCAGTCTCTGGCCCTATTCCTGTAGTTGCACAACCCATTCCACACCCAGCTGCACCGGTTGAAACATCTTATTATACAAATGCAACAGGATTTGTTCCACAACCACAACCACAGCCACAGCAGCAACAACAACAACAACAACAATCTCAACAGACTCAGCAACAGCCACAACAAGCTCCCAGGATCAACGACGTGATAGGCACACCAAATTTCTTCTTCTTACAAGAATCGGAGCTCGACTCGCCAGATGTTACACCACAAGCACCAATAGTATCACACATTCCTACCGCCGTTAATGCACCTATTCCTTCACAAACATTTACGAATCAAAACTTTGCAAATGCACCGGTAGTAGCACAACAAGTTATATATCAACATCAACCACCACAAGATATGTCCCACATTCCTGGATTTGCCAATCCGAATCCTCCTCCACCTATCCCAATGCCACCCTCTCATCAGCAACCAAATATACAATATAGTCCTCAGCATCCTACTAATTTTCAACAACAGCCACAACAACAACAGCAACAACAAGCTTCTTCGCAAATAACGCAACAAGCACAAAATCAAAATTTTGAACAAGAAACTCAACAACAACAACCTGTTGAAGTATATCACGAACGTTATAACAAGATATATCATATATTTTACAATCAGAATATCAAGATACTCATTCTCTTTTCTTTTTTTTTTTTTTTTTTTTTTTTTTTTTCAGGAAAAAGTCGAAGAAAATCAAAATGAAACAACAGCACCGGAATCAGAAATAGAACAACCCAGTGAATCTGTGGATTGGTGCCAGATGACCGAAACTAACGATTGGAATCAAACAGACCAATCGCAACAATCTGCACAAGATTCGCAACAAACGCAACAACAAACATCTCAGCAAAATTGGGGTGATCAACAACGCAGCGGATATAGAGGTAGAGGTGGAAGAAGAGGTAATTCTAACGGGTACAATGGAAGAAGTAGGGGCGGTTATCAACAAAACGGTCGTGCAGGTCAAGGTATAAAATATGCTTGCTATTGTCGAACAATAAAATTTAATACATTTGATCGAATAATAATTGTTTATTCAGGAACGTATTATCGTAACGATAGTAACTATCAAAATGGTTATCAACAACGATCTTGGGGTAATAGCGAAGGAAATAGCGGTTATAATTCTGGTTATAAAAGAGGCGGTGGTGGATCAAGAGGCGGAGGTCCACGAGGCGAGCGTGGTATGGACAGAGGTGGTCGAGGACAGTTTCGTGGTCAAAGAGGTGGAAACCGTGGCGGTTATGCACCTCGTGGTAAACCCCATACGCAACAGTAATAAAAATGCGATAGAACAATGCACAGTGAAACACAAATGATGCTGTAAGATCATAATTCAATTGTCTATTTACGAAAAAAACCTAAGTCGTATGTTTAAACTTTACATACTACAAAATTCGCGTGTACAGTTTGGCTTAGTATTTTCTTCCGTACTTGGAAGAAAATAAACCAAGTCGTATACATGAATTTTAATACATGAAATAACAATTTCAATGTTCTAGATTGTTATTCGATGATTCTTGTAAATGATTTGTCAATTATATTTATACATATTAAGAAAATAACATCAAGGGAAAAGTACCGATGTTTACATAAGTTCACGTTTTAAAAACGTTGCATTTAATTAGCGTGATAAAAAAAAATTGACTTAAAAAAATATATCTTGCTAAATTTTTTCGCGGCTTAGGATATTTCCTAAACGAGACATTGAATACAAAAATTTTGCATTTGAATTTGGTATCTACAATCGTCAAAAGAAAGATCTATCAACACGAACGAAAAGGTCGTGCAGACGTAACATCGTGATACAAGAAAAGATCAACCAAATTTAAAAGCGCGAACCCACCGTGCAAGTATTATTGCGTTGCGACAGAAGGCAGTTTTCACAGGGCAACAACAGCTGATCAACAAAGATTAGAAAAATAATTTTATTATAAAAAAAATACAAAAAAAACGAGAACTCACACAAGCATTTCACGCAAAGACACGAGAACGTATTTAACGAATAACGTTGAAGCAATCACGCGAATAGATGAACTGCACGACCATCTCTTTGTCTTGCGGCGCATCGTTCCGAAGAATTTTTTAAGATATCAGAAAAAAGAGAATACAGCGAGCAATGCCTTCTAGCGCTATATATCCTCTCGACTTCACATTCCATTTTTTGGTCTATGAATCTGCGAAGTATTTAGAAAGTTAAAGTTGTCGAGATTCAGTAGTTTGGAAAATGAAAGATCAACGTAATACACGGACGCATAAAAATGTTTTTCACGAAACACGTTTCACGATTGCTATTCACGTCGCTCCCTCTTCTGTTTTTTCTGCGTGATTTCAAAATTCTGTACGGTCGCCTATGCAGCTGGCCAAGTAAAAGAGATTGCAGTGCAATGTCGAGTTTATGAAGCAACATTACCTGATTTTTTTTATCGCAAAATATATATGATTATTTTAAAGAAAATAAAGCGACAGCGCGGAGCTTTAGCACGTAAGTCGAACGTACAATTTCCGACTAGAGACGAAGAAGACGCGTTCGAATAACGCGCCATCGACGAAAGCCACGCTCACACCGCCAAACACGCGACGAGGAGTACCGTATCGTATTTTTTTTTTTTGTATATTTGCGTTCAATCACCTCCATCTACAGTTATGTTCAACTATCCTACGAATACCTATGTATCTTCCAAATAAAGATCTAATTCAACCCTGCTAACTAGCCTACCTATCGTACTCATTGTCAACACGTCGTTTCACTCTTCGGCTTGTTCTCAAATAAAAAAATCGAATAAAATATTTGATCAATCATGTTTTATCAACATTTTCTTCGTTACTTTCTATTTCTTTCTTTTTCGCTTCGAATCAAATCGCAAGATGTTCGAATCGTGCATTGTTGTCACGATCGAAGTAATTATTTAAATTTCGCGCTTTCTCATTCGCGGTACAGTACTTCAACTGATCATCGTAGTTAAAATTCGTTTCAAATTAAACGTGGTTAGAATTCTGTGATATCTGGTACGTTGGTGTCCGAGTCGAAGCAGTTACCGTTGGTATATAATTTTACTTCAATAATTGTAACAAAATCGTACGTGTTCTCTATATCGTGTACGGAACAAAGTGCAAGTACATTCGAAGCAATTACAACATATACGTGTACGATCAATGCGATCGAACAGAGGTAATCGCCATTTTTCTTTACGTTCGTTAAAACTGAATACGTTTGAAATATATTTCACATTAACAAGCGCATTTAAGTTAGGTTAAGAACATTAAAAATTTTCTAATTTTCTAATTTATTGTATCAGAATGATGATCAAAACTGCTCGCGACCCTACAATAGAGAAACATTTCAAAGGTCATGAAGATGCTATCACAGGTTTATGTTTTCATCCTGAAACTACTCAATTAGTATCAAGTAGTTCAGACAAAAGTATAATATTATGGAACCTGAAAGAGTCTGCGAGAGCTTGTAGATTTCTTGGACACAAAGATGCAGTTTCCGACGTCACGTATGCACCATCGGGGGAAGTCATAGCCAGCGCTTCCAACGACAGATCTGTTAGAATTTGGGTTCCTAAAATAACAGGACAATGTTTAGATTTCAAAGCACATTCAGCAGCTGTTAGATCGGTACAGTTTAGTCCAGATGGAGAAAAGGTATACGTACTTATACTTTGAACAACGACAGAGCTACGGCAGACGTAAAAGTATCTACGTGTCATTCAGCAATATTCTCATACATTTACAACATTTGATATTATGAAACGTAGAATGAAAGGAGTGAAACGTAGAATCAAAACATGCAGCATCTTTCACTAAAAGATAAGAGCGTCTGTTTTTCTATACTCGCCGTAACTCGTGTCTAGCACGCATTTAAATTTATGTATGTTTCAATGTACAGTTAATTACCGCATCAGACGATAAAAGTATTAAATTATGGGTAGTACAACAAAGAAGATTTCTCACGTCATTCGCACGTCACACAAACTGGGTCAGGTGTGCTAAATTTTCTTCAGACGGTAGACTCATAGTTTCTTGCAGCGACGACAAAACAATAAAATTATGGGATATCACCAGTGGGGAATGCATTAAAACCTTCAACGACGTAAAAGGTATAAATTATATTTATCAATTTATCATACTTTATTGAACATGTTTAAATACAAATTCTCAATCTTATCAGGGTATTCCACGTACGTGGAATTTCATCCAAGCGACTGTGTTATCGGATCGGCAAACGTAACTGGTTCTGTCAAATTGTACGATATACGTACCGCTTCTTTGTACCAGCATTACGCGACTCACAAAGATTCAGTGAATATGATAAAATTTCATCCAAAAGGAAACTTTATATTGACCGCATCCGACGATTCAACAATGAAGGTACATCGAACATCGTTGCATCAACGTCCTTTCATTAGATCGTATTTATTAAAGATTGTAACACAGGTTTTAGATTTGTTGGAAGGTCGTCCAATTTATACGCTCAAAGGACACGCAAATGGTACCAGCGCGACATCGGTAACATTCTCTTCCAATGGAGAATTCTTTGCTTCCGGCGGTACAGATCAACAATTATTAACGTGGAAAACAAATTTCGACAAAGATGATATTTCTCGAAAAATTTCACGACATTTATTCTCACCTATCGAAGAATCGGAATCTAAAGAAGTGAAAGAGGAAAAGTCGCATAAAGATGACGATATATCCGAAGGAGAAGAGGATATGGAAGTAACTGTTATTTCCAGATTTTAGAATTTACTCGTATCCGATATGATTTTCAGTCATAATTTAAAATATTTTGTTACAAATATTTATTTCATTTTACAAAATATTTTATCGTTCTAGTCATTGCACGAGAAACTTGACATTACGAATTTAAAAAACGGAAGATCTCGTCGCGAAATACCAGATGCTGGAGCATCGAACAAAGACGTAGAATGTAAAGTCACAAATACGAGGAATCGGAGACCCTTTGAAAAGGGCCATCGTATCGCGAATATATCACGTTTATCTGGTACGCACTCCGGTAAAATAGTAGATGCACTTAACGAACAAGTGCAATCATTAAGCGACGCTGTTGCTCTTTTGGAACAACGTTTGTCCGTATTAGAGGAAGAATTGAAAAATAATTTTTTGTAATTCATTTAAGAAGTTACTCGATTATAATCGAACAACCCAGATACTTGCAAAGTATATATTTAAATTGCACTTGACAGTTAAAGATCAATTATTTCAAAATACAATGCGAATCTTTCGATCATCAGTTCGTACGAAAAGTTACACAAAGTACAATGACGTTATAGAAGAGGAAAAATATAAATCTCGACGTAACAAGAAAATAACGATTATACTTGTAAAGCGATTATTTTTTTACGCCTAAAAATTGACACGCCTTCCCAGTTTTCTCGATGATCCGTGATATTTCATCAGAAGGAAGCGCAGACGTTACAAATACCTTGTTTCCTGGTAGATCTATTTGCACATTGCCAATACCTGAAAACGAATCGATTCTGAATCAAATAATTTTTTAACGCGAGAATTACAAAATAAAGTTTCCATATGTTTTTATCCGATGTTCTTTGACAAAAGAAATCTTACAACTTGAAATTAATCACTACGCGTTTACCCAGAGACACTTTTAAATTTAAATAAAATATAAATCCGATTATTAAAATACGCAACAATCGTCGAACCATACCTTCCTTCTTACGAAGTACGTTCGTCACGGCATTGGCACATCCTTCGCACGTCATCTCTACGCTGAATTCGTGCACCTTAAATTTAACATTGTTTAACCGACGATCTCGTCGTTATACCGTCAAGTGTAAATTAAAAATTTAATTGTTACAAATTGACAATTTTATTACCCGAGATGTCATATTGATAATCGCTTGTATTTATCGAGCAGTTACTCGGCACAACGGATCAATCGTGTCACGTGTTACAAACGGAACAACGAGTCTCTCTCTCTCTCTCTCTCTCTCTCTCTC